TATAACAATTTATTTATGAGCTTAGACACCTTAATCCAACAATTCAAACATTCTTTGATGAATTATGAAGTAAATTGTTCATCTAGTGTCACAAATGGTGTTTTAATGGTTTTAAAAGTTCGTAAGAGTATTATAAATTAGTATTGAGCACCTTTCATACCATTAGGTCTTTTGAAGCAATTCCTTCATTTTTGGAATTTAGATTCGAATTGATCTTTAAAAATGTTTTTTTTATAAAAATGTAGACGTTTTAAGGTTATTCTAAGGATATGAACCAATTAAAGATCCTCTCTTAGGTTCTTTTGAAGTATCATAAACTATGTTTGATGTCCATAGAGTCATTTGAATTGTTTTAGAGTTTTATTGAAAGTAAGATGGCAAAATGAAAAACAAAATTTTGATTATGTTTTCTGCCACAGGGTTCGCAGTGCATCCAGTGAGGGACCGTGACACGCTTTCTTCCTTCTCCTATTTTTAGTAGAAAAAAACTATACTTAAAAGTCGACCCGACAACTTAATACACAACAAGAGCATAATATAAATTTTATGTGTATTTGTTTTAGAAATTCATGTATCCTATTTATTCATGTCTGACACCTATTTTAAATTCATGTTTTGTGTCTTAGATGTGTCAAACACAAAGTTATCTGTTTGAACACATGTAAGACACAAAACAAATTCGGGCTGACACGTGACACATATCAACAATTTTGTGTTGACATGTGACATGTATAAACACATATAATCAAAATTTTGTCTTACAAGTGAAATGTGTCTATTCGTGTAAATTTGTGTTTTCATGTAATACATTTAAAAACATGTCTATTAATGTTGTGTCATGTACCACACAAATTTGTTATATGTCGTGTTCATGTTTGATACCCAAGACACGTTTTACAATTTTTTGTATGTAAATTTGTGTCTGATTTATATACACAACACATACACACGGATTGTTAGGTCTACTTAAAAGTTCAAAAAAATAAGTTCAAATTTTTCATCACCAAGAACACAACTGAAATGAACACATTTAAATCGCTAAATATTAGACAAATTAAAACTACCACTACCATTACTAAATAATAATAATAATAATAATAATAATAATAATAATAATAATAAATAATTTCAAAGCAAATATAGCAAAAAAAGCCATATAAACATAATATAAACAAGTGTGGTTAAACAAAGTGTCAGGTTTGTTGGTGATTAGTATTACTAATATTATTTAAGTGTAATGCATTAATTTGTTTATGAGTATAATTTTGATAAACATTGAAGAACTAAGGATGATGTGGAGTGCACCTTCGTTTGATTTTATTCAAGATTCAAAGTACATTGTCGTTTAAGACCAAGTCCCTGAACGAACGGGGGTCCTAGGGGCAACGCCACTAAGAATAGGGTCCAAGGGGTGACAACTCCTTGTTGAGAAATTCAAATTTGAGAAAATTGACCCAATTTTTTTACCCTAGTTCTAGATCCGGTTTTATGGTAGTTTAGTGACAGTTTATGTCGGTTTTCAGATAGGAGGTTAATTCCCAGTAACTACAAATTTTGCAGTTTTTAGTCATGAGGTTATTTTTCCCTGTTAATTGTTCGTTCTCGTGTAAACACCGGTATACACAAGATCATAATTTCATTTTCATTATGTGCTCTTGAAACATATATTGAATTTTATCCGATTGAAAATTTTCAAAATACCTTTGAAAAACTTTGATCTGAATATGTTTTTTCGACTCTCAGTTTTTCAATAGAATTGAAAACCCAAATTTCTAACAAGGTTCACCTTTAAAACGAGTTTTCCCTTTTTCCTTCAAATAATGACATTTTTTACATTTTTGTAAAAATGTTTAGGGAGTTGAAATACCTAAAAGAAAAGATGAACAAATAAGATCGAAACAACATTTTTCAAATACAATACTAGAAAATAATTGATTGGTTGATCCACTTGCTACACTTCACGTTCTTTTAAAGGCCACTACAAATTTTGCGTGATATTGTGATGCCATATTTTCTGTTTTTTTAGGTGGATCCGTAGGAGCTGCTCCTTGTTGACTATTGACTCGACACCAATTGTAATTAAATATTCTTCCATTTTCAATTTAATAATTCAACAATCATTTCATCCCCTTCCTTTAAATATTTGGTTTTTGTGCTCGTTGAACATGTGCATTTGAAGAAATTCTATGTAAAGCATCTTATTCTCCTCGTCAATTCGTCCAACTTATATGATCCTATAGGGATTTGTCAAATGCAAATACATTCTTTGGTAAATCATACTTGTCCAATAGGTTTTTGCAACTTTCTACAAAGACTTAAACGATCACATTATAAGCCAAATTTTGTTTATGGATAATTATAGAAAGCATATTTGCACGAATGATTATCATACGGGTGAGCAAAACCGAACCTGAAAATCCAAAAATCGAAATTTGCGGTTTGTGTTCAGTTTTTGGGTTTGGTAAAACCGAACGAAACCGAACCGAATTCGATTTTATAAAATGTATATAAAAATATATTTATTAAGTACATAATATAAATAAGTTTGGAGTAATCTTAACACAAATCAGATGCTATATCCTTTGAACCTCATGATCAAGGTTTGAAACTAAGCATCTACATTGAAACCCAATCATAATATGATCCAATGCCCTCCTCATGGATCAAAGTAATATAGCCATCTAAGTTCATTTTATGCTAATTAAGTCATTGAACTCTTAAAATTGTCATAATCTTGACAGTAAAACAGGTTCCATCTGGTTTCCTAGTTGCAAATTACCACGTTAGTCCATGTGGCCATGATGTGGTGTATAGGTGTTCTAAAAATATGTAAAACATTGTGGGTTTTGTCACCGTTTGACTCGCTGAACATCTAATCATGCTAATTAAGACTTTAATCAATCATATGTTTTTTTTTCTCTCCTCTCAAATTTTGGTTCGACATCCCGGTCATCTACCCTTTTTCTCTCTTCTCATATTCAAATTGGTAGAATGTAGTTGTTAAAGATGTCATCATCTTCCAATCATAAATTCTTTAATCGATTCTGTGTATGATTTTAAAATGAAGAATAAGTGTTAGATGAAATGACCAAAAAGATTGGTTGTGTTTTCAAAGTAACAAACGGAGAGTTTGTATTGGGCTAGGAACGGATTGTTTTCAAGAATTAAGTTTAACATGGTTTTAGAAACATGTCTAATATGACCAATGTTTTAAAACCCGGGTTTTTAGTTGACCCAGTGTGATGACCGGTTCACGGGTCAACCGGTTCAACCAGTTGAACCGCCGGGTCAACCCGGTTTATAGTCTTTTTCTATTTCTATATATTTTTACTTTCATGCATAATGTATAAACATATAAAACCAATAATTTGATGTCCACAAAGTTTAAACATTGAAAAACATTGAAGAAACCGCAAACGGCTCGTTGTTTTGGCGTTCGCTACTTGTATCCAACTATCCAAACTCTATTGAAACGGGTCAAACCGGTTTAACCGGTTCAACATAAGCGGTCGAACCGCAGTTTAAGGGAAACCCGGCCGGTTCGATCCGGTTCGTATTTTTACAAAAAACCGGTCTCAATCGACCCGCCTTCTGCCCCGGGTCACGGCCCAACCGGTTGAACCGGCCGGGTTGACCCGGGTTTTAAAACATTGAATATGACCAAAAATGTAATTTAGTATCGACGACATGTCATCAGTATAGTATGTCTCGACAACATATTGTCGGTTATATGTCATTTTTGGTGTGAGTTATAAATTAATTATTGATAAAATAAAATAGAAACAACCCTTCAATAATTCAAACAACCATAATTACATCTCCAATATTCTAAAAAAGTAGTCATTTATTTCAAAATGATTTTTTTTTTTTTTTGCCATAATCTTTGTGATTAGTCTCCCTTACAAAACCTTCTAATTTTTCTTTGGAATTCTTTTTTATTAGATATTCTAATATGGACATCTTTTATAATAAGAAAATAATTTTGCACAATCAATTTATTGATTATCCCAATTTGTGTTTATGTGCCTATTTTTAAGGGACGTTAACTAAAATAGTTTTTTTAATTAATATTAAAGAAAATAAACTATAGTTCTATTTTTTTGTTTTTGAAAAATGATCAACTAATTCAGAAAGATTAATTCTGAAAGTAAATTTTTGTAACTAAAAAGCACATTTTGAACTGAAATTCCGAATTCTACACCGAAATTTTGGATTCCGAATAGAAAAATAAATAGATAAATTTATATTCTAAAATTTCAAAACAAATTTGAAATCGAATAAATAATTCTGAAATTTTAATAATACAAAAACTTTGTTTTTAACTAAAATGTAATAAAAAATTAAACAAACATAACAAACGATGATTATATACAATACAAGGGCTAAAAATCAGATATTTAATTGAAAAATGGTTATGTTAGACTTCAAAATAGACATTTCATATATAAATATAAATACTTTCTTAAAAAAACAATGTACAAATTAAAAAGAAAACACAAAATATACATTTTTTATGATCTGTAAGGAATTATATCATGAACTAATCCTTTAGGAAAAAATGGTCATTTTTATATAACACAAGTTATTTCTATTAAAAATCTCGAACACAATTCTTTTTAACCAAACATTTAGCAATTACTAAACAAAAATAGTAATATTTAGACTAGTAACTTATAAGTTCACATTTAAAATGATTAAACAAATAAAATCATCATCACTATTCCAAAAGATCCGTAATAACACGTGAGTTAACTGTTAAGACAGAGCTTGGTCCAACTCCTATATATACACCATAATAAGCACAGTACCACATCCCATCAAGCAGTGGGAACTGGGAAAGAACTATATATATATATCCTGCCCTTAAATTCACCATCTTTTTTCATTCCATTCGTCTTTTTGGATCAAGCATGGCTAATATTTGCACAATATTATCATTTTTTGCTCATTTGAAATGGGTTCTCGATTTCTTGATTAGCCATGCCTTTTTTAACCACCGCATGTTCTTCTTGCCGGAGCATTTCCATGGTGGCAACACATCGTCATTTGACGAGGTTGAATGTGCAGTGTGCTTAAGAAGAATTGACGATGATGATGAGGTTAGTGAGTTGAGGTGCGATCATGTCTGCCATAGAAGTTGCTTGGATATATGGCTCGATTGTAGACACACGACATGTCCTTCATGCCATGATAACTTGTTGGTTCCCCAGAAGCTCCATACTAGCCATAGCCAGGGTTTTGGAAGTCAAGAAGTGTTGTTCTTTGATTTCTGCCGTAGGGATTCAAATACAGATTATGGTACATGGTGGCTAAGGTGAATCATGGTCATGTGTTGGTGACTCGGTGCTAGATTCATGGATGAATCGTTGTAAAGTAATATATAACTCTATTTACATTTTACCATCACTTGTTTAAAAGAATTTCATATAAAATTAAAGCAGTACTAAATTCTTGGCAAATTTTCTTTCATTAAAATATGAATGTCACAATTTCCAATATATGTAATAACTTGTTTTTAAAGATCAAGAAGTGGGTACAAAGGCAAGGCGATTATCTTAAGACAATGCAAATCTCGAAAAACTTTGGTTAAATGAGTAACATTGACACATTGAACGGATACAACAAATTTACATTGATTAGCTTTTTTAAAGAATACTTTATTTTATTTTATCATTTTATGTGTATATTAAAAAAGAATTCGATTAATATTCATTTCTCAAATGGTGTTTAATAATACAAAATTGAAAAAACTGTTGAACAAACTCAATAACTTTACCATATTATAGTTAATGATAGTAATATATGAGTAATTTCTCTTAGATATTTGGGTTTAGGAATATAGTTATTGATGTGACAATGTCACCGGACGTGCATGCCTTGTGCCTTCGATGATTCCGATGAACCTGCGAGGTCACAGCAAGAGAAAAATGTCATCCGTTCTCCGGAAGAAGGCTCCCGGAAAAACACTCTGACGATCAAGTCAGTAGATAGACTTGGGTGTATCTAGAGTGAATTGGGAGATACCGACTTACTTTTCAAGGCACCGAAGATGACCTTTTATATTGAATCCTTCTACTAGTCCGTAAAAGACAAGGACATCAGACCCGACATGATCGGGGACGTTGATTGGATAATCGTGCTCCTTAATCTGTAAGAGCCAACGATTGGTTCAGGTGGTAATGCTCTGAGCATCTGCCTTGTCGCCTAGAGCTGTTACACTTTTGTCGTAAAGTGAAAGGCGCCCCTGGCGGAGTCGGACCGTCTCTGCAAGCATTCTGCTCTTAGGGGAGCTAAATTTTGTCGGGTTTGTTCCGCTAGGCGCGACGTGCCTTGGGGAATTTGTGACATCCCCATTTCACGGCCAGAAAAGACCAATTTTGTTTATGCTTTATAAAAATCAGAGTGCCTCTTTTAATAAAAATGTTACATAATTTGTTCCCAGTAAAACATGATAAATACGTTATCAAAGCATTTCCGTAGAAAAGTATTTTATTCATTTTAAAACATTTGGGATGTCATTGTCAATGCAGAAACATAAGCATAAACAGAACTTACATTCACTATCACTAGTGATTTATATCTCCTTGATCTCTCCGTGTAATATGACTTAATATCAACATCTGTGATATAAATAAACTGAGTATGTCAGGTTGGGAAACCTGGTGAGTACATAGGATTTTCAACCCACAATAATATAATTATTATGTTTAATCATCAAACAGTTAACCTAATTACCCATCCCCCATTATCTTTTTTACTCTTAAGGATCTACCCTAAGAATCAGCTATTTCTCATTCATTCATTAATTCCTAAGGATTATCCTAACGAATAGTTAAGAAGTCCATCGTTGTCAATGACACAACTCTCAAACACAACTGCTACTTATATCACTTAGGCGCAGCTACCAGAATTGTGACATTCTCTATGAGGCGCATCTGTCAATATTGTCCTTCGAGCACAACTGCTTGGGTTATCTCGTTTATTGACAGTACCGTTTTCGAGAGTCTACTTGTAATACATGTCAATGGGTTTTTAGAGTACATTGGTGAACACATCGTTCACAACACCTACAGGTTGCGAGCCTGCTAGTGTTCCACCGGACTGTTTAGAATAGTCCGTGGTTGTCATCCATACTCTGCTAGATGACGGGGCTAGCATTTGGGAACAAGGCTTCTTATATCATCCACCTCTCACCCTTACCTCATGGTCTATATCACCTCTCAACTCATCATCCAACTCCTATTTCATCTACCCATGTTTCACCCAACATATTATGTAGATATAAATACATATACAGTTTAAATCATATAAAACTTGTATAAAATTGTTCATCCAACATAGATAGCAAGTATACAAATAATATGCACACATAGCACGTAGTTTATATAAACTACTTCATATCTATGTGTAAGATGAAAGGGACCATGCATTAACTTGAAAAGGTGGTGACTCGGCACTTGGACAACACTTCGTTACTCTTAACACAATTTTTTCTTTGACAAAACCTAACATCATTATCACTAGAGTTTAGTCTATTATTCACCGAGACTAATTAATAGTCTAACTATTATTAATATTATATAAGTGTTAAACAATACTTATATAACCCAAAATAATAGCCCAAATACTCCTTATAAGGTCCTAATTACATTACTATATTGAATCATAAGCTATACTAGAGATAGGTTAGGCGTAGCTCACTTACATCGAGTTTTTCTCAAAAATGGGCTCCACTGGAGCAGCGTTCTCGAGCCGAAAGGCTCTTCTTATCGGAGTCGTTGGGCCCTCCGGGGCTTCCGCCTCGTGCTAGGGAGGTTCCCTAGGCTTTTCGGGGCTATAGAGAAGTTCTAGAGAGAGAGAGAGGGAAGTTATGGGAGGTGTGAGGAATAAAGAGGGATTCACCTCTCATTTATAGGGGGCTGGAGGGTCACCCACGTCGTGAGTTTTATGATGCTCACATTGTGAGCCAGCTGGAGACACCCAGGCACAGCCTGGTGCTGACACGTGGCATCGCACACATGGTGGAAATCAGCCGATTTTCAAAAAATTCATAACTTTCGTATACGGTCTCCGTTTTCAACGTTATTTATATCCACGTGTAGGTAAAAACAAGATCTACAACATTCATTTAGACTCCACCGGCTAATTCTCAAGGGATCTTAAATTTAACAGTACGAGGAGATTATACTGTTCAATGTCCGCGTAAAATTCATAACTTCTACATACGGACTCCGTTTTCGTTTGTCTTTTTACCATTGAGTTCCTATTAATGAGATCTTTAACTCTCATATAGGTCGCGTAGGCCAAAAACCACTTGAATTAAAATTCGAGTTTCGGGTCGTGCACTGCTATTCCAAATTTAGAAAATTCGTAACTTCCTCATACGAAGTCAGATTTGGGCGTTCTGTTTTTGTTGTTCTCGGTTAACATATTCAACGAATTTCATTTAGATAACTAAGGCTAAAAGCCGCTCTATTGTAAATTCACTATTTACGCTTCCCGATGTCATGTCGGTTCCGTCGCGAAACTTCGACGGGTCATAACTTCTTCGTTATAACTCGAATTTCGGCGTTCTTTATATGTACGATTTGGAATAAACGATTTGGAATTCATGCTACTTTTAAATCTGAAACATAGAAAAATACATTGTTATTTTGTGTTATGGAGAGACATATATCTGTAAAAATCAATTTTCAGTTATATGAAAGTTGTAACATTTGCATGGAACAACCACCTTCCTTTTATACAAGGAAGATATCGATTAGAAGGTAGTTACCATTCATATATAATATGTTGGCAACAAAATGGCGGTTTGAATGGTGGTTATAGAACAAAATCACCTCTGACATCATCATGATTTCATTACCAATTTTTGGGGAAACGTATTGCCGAACAAACTCAATAACTTTACTTTTTTTTAAGGAAAATTGCAATAAAGTCCTTACATATTGGCCTCATAATCGATTTGGTCCTTATATCTTTATTCAATTAAGTTCCCAAAACCGGTAATCATATTCAATTTAATCATTTTACTCGGTCAGCAGGTCATTCAACTTTTAAAAATCACATTTTTGGCCCAGCTATCAAAATTTATTACAAATTTGGTCCAAAAATACATTTTTGGCTCAGATTTTAAATTTTATTACAAATTTGATCCAAAATATATCCTTTTTTCCCAAATTAGGAATCAGTTTGCACAATCCTATAAATATGATGTTATGTGATTCTGTCAGAATGTTATTCTATTAGAATATTATTAGAGATTAATTTTTTTGAACCCTGAGTTGAATAATAACAACATTCTTGTATTTTTTTCATAGACATTCGAACTTAAATACAAATTAATATATATTCTTAAAGAATAGCATCCTTATACATTTAACATAATTACACATACTCTAACAGAATGTCATAAAAAAAATAATAAAATTCTTATAAAATTGCATTCTTAAATATACAATTATTGAACAAATGTCCTTAATCTTCTTCAGTGATCCAAGTAATAGACTTGATTCCAACTATTCTTACGAAAATGTGATGTATTATTGTAAGAACGTAATTCTTCGCAAATATACTTGTTTTTTTTTAACTCAATTCCAAATCTTTCTCTTGTATGATCAATATTTGATTCCTTCTTGAAGGTATTTCTAAAGAATAACATGCATTATTCGTTACTATTACCAGTTAAGTAAATATACTTGTTGTTAACAAACATTCTCAAAGACATTCTAACAGAATACATGTATACAAATAAATTCTGATAGAATGCACTTAAGTCATATTCTTTTCTTCTATATTATAAACATTCTAAAACATAGAATATATAAATGCATTTTGTCATAATTATTAGCAAAACATGTTTTATGTAATATTTATATTCTCATAGAATGAACATATGTTTGCATTCTAATATGAAAAAAAAATCCCAACTTAACCCTTTTCATGCAACCGACCCCTTAAATCGCAGGTGTGAAATCCATAACTAAACAAAATCCAATTTTTACAAATGCAAAAATCAAAACCTAATTATGAGATACCAAAAAATATATCTAATAAAATATAGTCTCAAATATTAAATCACAACATATTAACATATTATGTAATCCAATCAAATCTTAACTAAAAACACAATACAAAGGCCCATGTGATTTATAAAAGTGAGATTCATGATTATTTTATGATAAGTTTGATGGAAATATTGAACATTAATGTTTTAGAGTAAAAAAGGCTTTACCTTTCTTAATGTTTTTGAAGATCTAACATAATTGTCAAGCTTTGTGGTTCATCGGCTTTAACAATGGTATATTTTTTTTTATAA